GATTAAGAGCATTTATTGCAGCATTATTTGTAATAGCCAAAAATTTGTTTTATTAGCCTCTATATTCCTCTGTATGCCATACTTAAAATATGTGTTAATTGAAATTACATACACACACATATACTTAGATACAGACATATATACTTTACGTTACCAAATGCCTTTGAAAGAGGTACCATTAAAAACATACTTACACATTTTCACATTTTGTAAATGAGGAAACCAAAGCTGCAAGAAGTTAATAAACTTACCTAAGGGAGCTAGAAATTTAAACCCACATCTGTAGATTTCCTAGGAGAGGAGAGAAAAACAAATCCCTCCTGTGCCTCTTCCCACAGCACTCCTCACTCACTCCTCTGACACATTGATAATTCTGTCGCTTACATCCTCTAACATCACCAAGAGCTGGCTATTCTAAACCCTAATTTTCCACCCAGAAGAAAACTTTTCTTAGCTGCGTCCACAGCTGTGATCGCAATCTGTGACAACCAGGCATAGGTCAGACAGCCACAGGTCATCAGAAAGGGGAAAGAAAAAACTTCTCAGTGATTGTGAGGCTTTCAGGGCAAAATCCAGGCTACCCCTTTTTCCTGATGCCTGACTTCAAACAGCAAACTTCTTTTACGCCAGAATATTTGCCATTAGGTCCGGAGATCACTGCTCTGCTTAGAGAGACAGCCCCTGCCAGGGCACCCACATGCTCTGCTAAATCGGTTCTTTCATTCCCACGTTTCTTCTCTCATCCACTCATTTGGTTATGTTTAGTGCCTTCTTTATGGCATGTGTTGTGCTTTCCTTTCATTTCTCCATCCAGAAACTGTAGAAACAGTTAAGGCAGACTGAATGTACCCTTGAGAATGTAGATGAGTCACTCTGTCACCCCTAGTTAACCATTAGAGGTAAATGCCTCTGTGGATGTGGGAATGTGTCCAATTAAGTTTGATATATGCAAAATGCATTTCTACAAAGCAACAGGATTGGAATTTTCCAAAGGTCTTTGGACCTTTGCTATATTTTATTTATGTACTAATATGGAAAAATCTCTAAGATACATTGTGAAGTGGAAGGATTAAGATGCAGAATAGTGTATATCGTGTGCTACCATGAATATATCTGTACATATTTGCTAATAACTGCATAAGATATCGCTGGAAGGATACACAGAGAGTCAGTGTTGGTTGCCTAAGGGAAGAGGAACTGTGAGGCTAGAGTACTAGCATAGGATAAAAAGGTCTTCCTATAAACCCTTTAATAATTTCTCTATTTGGAGATAGATAGATATTACCTGTTTGAAAATTACATTTAAATTATTTTATTTATGTATTTTATATTTATTTTTTAAATATTTGAGAGAGCATGAGCAGGGGAGGGGTAGAGAGAGAGAAAGAGAATCTCAAGCAGACTCGGTGCTGACAGCATGAAGTCTGATGCTGTGCTCAAACTCACGAATGGTGAGACCATGACCTGAGCCGAAATCAAGAAATCAAGAGTTGGCTGCTTGGGGTGCCTGGGTGGCTCAGTCGCTTAAGTGTCTGCCTTCAGCTCAAGTGATGGTCTCATGGTTTGTGAGTTCAAGCCCCATGTCAGGCTCTGTGCTGACAGCTCAGAGCCTGGAGCCTGCTTTGGATTCTGTGTCTCCATATCTCTCTGCCCCTCCCGGCGCTCGCTCGCTCTCTCTCTCTCTCTCTCTCTCTCTCACAAAAATAAACAAACATATAAACATTTGGGGCACCTGGTTTAGTGTCTGACTTTGGCTAAGGTCATGATCTCATGGTTCATGAGTTCAAACCCCATATCGGGCTCTGTGCTGACAGCTCAGAGCCTAGAGCTTGCTTCAGATTCTGTGTCTCCTTCTCTCTCTGCCCTTCCCCGACTCATGCTCTCTCTCTCTCTCTCTCTCTCTCTCTCTCTCTCTCTGTCTCAAAAATAAAAATAAAAACATTACAAAACATTTTGAAAATAAATAATCAAACATTTTAAAAATTCCAAAAAAAAAGAGTTGGATGCTTAACCAACTGAGCCACGCAGACACCTTTAAATTTAAATTATTTTAAATCACAATATCATAGGCTCTATTAGTACTGTGAATATGACTTACCTTTTTAATTATATTTCATTCGTTCATATTTTTGAGTACTTACTAGTTGCTAGATAAAATATACTAAACATCCTTTTAGAGGTTAAAGGATGTCCCCAGACTTTAGGTGTCTTCAACTCTCACCCAATATACAAGGATGTGGTAACCATAGTGGTAAGTGTGTGAGCTAACACTATCTAATTTGGGAAAACTGCAGGTTTGGGTTTCAATGCCACCAAACCCTGGAAATGATACATCTTGAATAAGAAATAATGAGGAGTTAGAACTGAAACCTGAACATAAGCCAGGACATTCAAAGGGCTATACCCTCAGTTAAAAAATAATAATAGTAATAATTACATTAGAAAAAGTCGCCCTACCTGTAAGAAAGGAAGACAAAGCAGCTTATTTGCCAGATACCAAAATCTGGGTGGGGAAAAAAAAAAGTCCCCATCTCACGCGAGTTTGGGTTTAATTTATACTCTGATTATTTCAGAAATCCTCAAGTCAATAAATTAACATAATAAGTGTCTAGACAGGTTACCCATGAGGGATCTGGCAAAAGCAAATGCTAAACTTCTCTTGAGGGACACATCCTCAACCAGGATGGCACAAAATTCCTATACAAAGAAGCCCTGCTGAAAATGAGCTTACAGTCCAAAATTACAAAATATACTTAAGTGATTGTCAGCAGACATAATAAACCTCACGATTAGACTTTGAAGAACTTGAATAAAACTACTAGATAGAAATTATCAGAATAAGTTTATATAAAATCAATGGATGAAAAACCTAAGAATAAGACATTCAAAAAAAGAACAGAGAGATTCACAAGAGAACCAAATGAACTTCAATAAATAAAAAAATACAGAAATTTTATAGTGGATAGTTTATAAAGTGCAGAATTGGCACAGGTTTAAAAAAATGGTGAACTGAGAAGTGCCTGGGTGGCTCAGTTGGTTAAGTGTTTGACTCTCACGGTTTGAGTCCTGCATCTGGCTCCACACTATAAGTGCAGAGCCTGCTTTGGAATTCTCTCCCCCTGCCGCCACCCGCCGCCCCTCCCCTGCTTGTGCACTCCGTCTCTCACTCTCTCTCTCTCTCTCTCTCTCTCAAAATAAATAGACCTTTTAGAAAATGGTGAACTGAGGGGCGCCTGTGTGGCTCAGTTGGTTGAGCATCCGACTTCGGCTCAGGTCATGATCTCATGGCTCGTGAGTTCGAGCCCTGCATCAGGCTCTGTGCTGACAGCTCAGAGCCTGGAGCCTGCTTCAGATTCTGTGTCTCCCTCTCCCTCTGCCCCTCCCCTGCTCACACTCTGTCTCTGTCTCTCTCAAAAATAAATAAACATTAAAAAAATTTTTTTAAAGAAAATGGTGAACTGAAAGATAGTTCTAAATGGCAACACAGAAGATAAATGAAAATGTGGAAGAGACATTGAGTGTAAAATAATAAAGTCTAGCATTTTTAAGTAAGAGTTCCAGAAGGAGAAAGTAGGTAAGAATCGATACTTGAAGATACATTTACTGATAATTTCAATAATTGATAAAACACTCTAATCTTCAGATTCAGGAATTATGAGACCTGATCAGGTAAGGTAGTCATCCAATGGAATACTATACAGCAATAAAAAAGAACTATAACCACATGCAACACCTTGGATGAATCTCACAAACATACTGTTAAGTTCAAATTGCCAGATACAAAAGAGTACATACTGTATGTATCCATTTGTATAAAGGTCAAAAACAGGAAAAATTCATCTCCAGCAGTAGTAAACAGGATAATGGTTACCTTGAAGAAATGGGTAGGTAGTATTTAGAAGGGGTTAACAGGGCAGCAGTGTTCCTGAGATTCAAATAATGATCTGATTCTTGATCTATGTGCTAGTTACATGGATGATATCATCTTAAGAAAATTTGTATAGATGATTTTGGTGTTCTTCTCTATTTAACTTATATATACTCTAACAAAATATTCACACACAAAAAGCCTCCAAACCCAAACAGACGTAAGGTGGTGGTGGTACTGTTTTCATATATGTAATCTCTTAACCTTTGCAACAAATGTTGGAGGTAAGCCTGGTTTTCATACATTTGCAAATGGACAAACTGAAGTCTAGAGGGGTCAAGTGATCTTGACAGGGTAATTCAAGTGTAGTAGCAGAGCCAAGACACTTGTCCAGGTCTTCTGACTCCAATTCCAATCATGTTTTCATAATTTCATAAAAAATTACAGTCCTGGTATCCTTTTAAAGCAAACATTGTTTTCTGAAAGATAGTCTTTTACAGAAATAAAATAAATGAAAATTCTTTATCATTGGTCACCTAAGACAGTGCTTCAAGGCTATTTTTCAGAGCTGTACTTTATCAATATCTGTGTCCATCCATGTGCTTTTATATTCTTCTTTCTGTTCACTGAGAGTTTAGACATTAATAAAAATTATCTCTGATTTAGGAATCCTGCCGAAAATAGATCTAGTAAAACAACCTCCATTTCTCTCTCTCTCAGGTTATATTATTCATTGCATAAAAAACAAAACAAATACCATGTATATTATAATCAAGATAATTAAGCACTAAGATAATGTCATTAGTTAAGAGGTTTTGGCGTTACAAATATATAAAACTAAAATATTCTGACAACTCAGGAATATTTCATGAAATTAATATTTTAAGTTTAATTAATAATCACTTATAGGAGTGATTCATCTTTAAGATTTTTTACCAGGTCACTAGACTTCTGCCACTTTTTGAGGTCATCAAAACAGAGTTGGACATGTAATAATAATTACTGTTTATTAAACACTGTGTGCTAGGGAATCTGCTGGACATATTTTATCCATTTAGTCAGTAGTATTTAACCTTTTTTATTTAATAGGTACTCCATAGCTATTTTTTGATTTGATTTGATTTGATTTTAGGATCCTTAACCTGTTTGGGGAACTTTCATAAAACTGTAAGTACAGTTAAATCAGTAAGTGCAGACAATGTTAGGGATGTCTTGGGGGCTTAGCTATTATTTTTTATGAATTACAGTTTGGCTTGACAGCTGTCCTTGTGTTGACAGCTCTTCTGATTATAGCAGTTGTCAAACTCCATCCTTAAGCAGGTTGTAAATCCTGGCTTCTTCCGATTAAAACTGGGTCAGAGCCAATGGCAGGTTAACTAGAGGCCACTATTCTACTACTGTATGTCCTCACTAGTTCATTTTAAATGGGTTTTGCAAAACACCGTTCTAAAACCCATATTTGCCTCTGTTTAACTTTGGTGTTTTTTAATCTTCACATACCCGTCCTCCTGTTGTTTTGTGATTAAACATGGTTCTTGCTGAAGAGTATATTAGTGTAAGTGTGGTCTTCCTTGTAAATGGCCTGTTAGCCTTCCCCTCCTCTCCCTCCACTGGGAATACTAACATCATTGCGTCTGTGTCTCCCAGGGGAAATCAAGGGTTTTCCTTGCACGTGCAGTCATGTGATTTCAGAGTGGGCAGGCTTTGTATCCTCATGAGCCCTCGGTCTTCCACGTAAAGCACCATCTGTTCTGTTCCTTCCACACTGTTACAGGGCAGTGGGAGGAGGCATTAGAGTGAAAATAAATAAAATAAAAAAGGAAAGAAATTCATCATCAAAACCCTGAGGATTAATGGAGTCAGAAGGCTCACTGCTCTGAATGAAAATTCATCTTCACCTGTGCCAGTGTCAGGGCTGCCTCTATGGCACTTGACAAATAGAGGTTCCCAGGGTACCATAAATTCAGCAACCGTTCTAATCCCTGTAGACTTGCTCAAGCTTTTTCGAGACAGGCTTATGACCGTTTTTGTATTTCCCAGCACATTGTGGGCACCAATATATCCCCTCATTAATTTGGTAAAATGTTAGCACCCTTCCCCTCTCTCATCTTCTTTGCCTTTGTCCATTTTGAGGGGATGGGAAGCTCACACATTTCTGAAAGATGACTCTGCTTTGTGAATTGTTCTTTACTTGAAGATGCCAAAGGCGGAGAATCAATTAACTAATGAATTTTGAGCAAATACCAAGTTCCCAGCACTGTGCTAGATGGAGAAGAGAATATAACAAAGCACGTAATCAAGTAGCTCACCAACTAAGTGGGGGTACAAACCGTATTTTTTTACACTATCGTTGGGCACCTATATTTGCCAGTTGGCTCTCTGCGAAACAAAGGTAATTGATGATTACCAGATCAACGGTGCATCTCCAAGAAGTGTGTGTCTTCCTCCTACAAGGATAAGGCTCACCTGTATGGTTTCCTCTTGTCTTTTAAACCAGTCTTCCTCTTCCCTTCCCTTTTTTCTATTACAACTTCCTGATTGCTTGATTCCTTGTGCTCATATCAGTCTGTCTTTGCATAAATCCCAGGCATTTGTTAATAATTAACTCATTTTCCTTATGGACACCATATCCCTCACTCTGAAAGACTATTCTGCAACCCTGAAATTCCTAATTTACTCTCTTTTCTTTCCTTTTTTTTTTAAGTAGGCTCTACACCCAGTGTGGAACTTGAACTCATGACCCCCAAGATCAAGAGTCGCGTGCTCTACCTACTGAGCCAGCCAGGTTCCTCCTGAACTTCCTGATTTAAACCTCACTTTACAGTTAGACTTGAGCTAAAATTTCGCTCACATTTGTTAGGTTAGGGGATTGTTATGTAGCCTGCTTAGCCTTTTCTCAGCTGGTTGGCTGTGGTCCTTTAGATGTGGAACTTAAAAATTTAAGCTCTATTCCTGGGTTAGTACTCATATCTTATATCCTATCTCACTGTTGGGAAAGTCGATTCATTATATGCCATGTATGAAATTAACACTCCTTTGTCTGAGATGGCCAGCTTAGTGTCTTCAGCCATAGTACACATCTACTTAGCCTTGATCTTCATGCTTAGGAGCCTTAAGTATTGGGTTAGATTTGTGCCAAGTGTAATCTGACAGATCGTGGTAGTTATTATCCTGTATTACAGATTTATACACTAGGAAATTTATTCCTCTGATCCTGCTTTAAAAGTTCCAATTTTAAAACCTAACTAAGTGTTTCTTACAGTAAGTTGAGACTGATAGCTGCGGCAAAAAGGTTAAATGATTATTTCTCAAAATATAAATGTCATGTAGCTAGTTCTATACCGGATAAATATCTCTTCTCACAACTACTTGATACTAGGCAGTGTGTCTTTAACTTTGTTATATGTTATAAGAGACTGCCTTCCATTGGAATCCAATCTGGTGTACAGTGATTCATGGTAAAACCATTTGGAAATGTAAAACTAAAATCTTCATTATATTATTGAGGGACATCACTTTAAATTCTTGAAGGGATATTGTATTCCTACACACTTTCTGTTGAATCCTGGGCTTGGTGGGATATTCTGTCTCTGCCTTCCTCCCTGTCTGTGGCATACCATAACAAAATACAATCTCAGCCCATTAATACCTGTCCCAGGACTGGACTAGGCAGTTCTTGCCTTTTTCTCCCTTTTCTCCTACTCTCTATGTATTATTCATTCATCCATCAAATGTTAATTTAACATTTATAATCCTGGTAGCTTTCTAAGAAATCCCACACCACTGAAGACAGAGATAGGGTTCTCAAATGGTCTGATTTTAGCTCAGAGTAAATTCTCCTCTTCATCTCTATTCACTTAGCACCACCTCTGAGCCTGTGTTATTATGTAGAGATTGGTGCCCGAGTGAAGCTGTCCCAAGGATATAACTCATCACAACCTGGTTTTGGCTGTTGGCTCTATGCCATTGAACAGCACATAGCAGGGGGGCCAGAGCTGGAAACACCCACCAGCAGAGGAAAGAGTCAAGGAGCCAGAGAAACTATCTGAGTAACAATAAAGAGCAAAAGAAGAAATATCACTACTAAATCATTTAAAACTAAACTCCTATAGAGTTCTACTTCCACTTAAGATATAGAAAACTATAAGAGAACAATGCTCCCATCCTAACAAGAAGAAAAGGATAGATAATCTACAAGATTGTTAATTTCTTGAGCCCATCAGATAGCAGAGGTTGCATGGCAGCAAAGTAAACTGGATTCCAAAGGATGACAGTCCCCCACAAGACACACAAACTGTTTCGCCTTCAGTGGAGCACCTAAGGAGGAAGCAGCCACCATAAACGCTGGTAAGAAAACAGCTAAAATCGACAGATTCTTAAAGTGAGTTAGTCTGACATTCTAGAGTAACAGGGAGCCTCAGACCCAAGAGGAATCCTCATTCACATGCTCTTTGCCATAAACTGGGAGAACCATAAGAGGAACTGAGAACAGAGAGAGCCCTTCCCCGTGACACACAGGCATGAAACCCTGCCATTTCCCTGGATTCTTATTTCATACAAAGCAAAATGCTTAAGACCCTCAGGAAGAGCAGAAAACTTTTCTGTCCTCTTCTCTTGTCCCCAGGCTCAGGCAGATTTCCACTGCTTTTGAAGGAGGAGTAAAAGCAAAATCTGTCTGCCACTCGGGAAGGACAGGGAACCCTACACTGACACCAAGCAGACATTTCTTGCCACTGAGGGCAGGGCATGAAGCTCTCTCCCTCTCCAGATATGTTTTCCCTCATACAAGGTAGAGTTTGGTTGACATCTGGGGGGCAGGGATGCAGGAACACTGAGAAATTGCCACCTCTGAGGACCTGCCTAAGACTGAGACCAGCCCAAAAGGACAAAGAGGCCATGAGGCATGCCCTAATAAGCAATCGCACTCTTATTGATGGAGAAGGAGCAAGAGTGCAGAGAGAAACTCCCTCTGTAGTAGACGTGCAGAGACTGCTGAAGGCTGCGGCGGGGGGGCAAGAATACTGGCACCCGAGGACACTCAAGAAACAAGGTAACTGCAGCCCACAGATGGAGGAATTTTAAAGTGTGTGATGCATTGAAGTTATCTGTAGCAGCAACAAAACCCAAACCCAGTTCAGCTGCTGGCCAGATTGACTCAACACCTATATTAACTGTATGACAGTAGAAGAGGCATAGCTATTTCTGGATGTAAATAGTGTCCTTCTCCATACGTTCTGCAGTCAAAACTGAGACATAGAGTAGCAAGGAAAAAACAACTCATTGTTAAACTATAAATTAGTAATTGACAGAGCAAGTAGATAAAAATTTAGCAAGCATATGAAAGAATTGAACAATACTAACAACCAACTTGACTTAATTAACATCTGTAGATCTCTCTAGAACATCTATAGAACACTCCACCTAATAAACAGAATACATCATTTCAAGTACACTTGGAACACTTATCAAGATAAACCATATTTAGGCCATAAAACAAACTTCAACAAATATTTTAAAGTCTTCCCTGAGACCACCACAGAATTAAATTAGAAGTCATTTACAAACACAAATCTGGAAATCTCCCACACACACAATTGTGCAAAACTTCAACACACTTCTAAATAACTCCTAGGTCAAAGAAGAAATTCCAAGGGAAATTACAAAATATTTTGAACTGAATGAAAAGAAAAACACTCTATCAGAATTTTTGGATGCAGCTACAGTAGTGCTCAGAGGGGAATTAAGTGCTTTTATTAGAAAAGAAGAAAGCTCTCAATGACCCAAGCAAGATTCTACCTTTCAAAAGTTAGAGAAAGAAGAGCAAGTTAAGCCCAAGACAAGCATGGGCATAAAATAATAAAGATCCGAGTAGGGGCGCCTGGGTGGCTCAGCCAGTTGAGTGTTCAACTTCAGCTCAGGTTGTGATTTCACAGCTCGTGAGTTTGAGCCCCGTGTCGGGCTCTGTGCTGACAGCTCAGAGCCTGGAGCCTGCTTTGGATTCTGTGTCTTCCTGTCTCTCTGCCCCTAACCCACTCGCATTCTGCTTCTGTCTCTCTCAAAAATAAATAAACATTAAATTTTTTTTAAAATCAGAGTAGAAATTGTGGAAATAGAAAACCAAAAATCCATGAAATCATTGAAAATCTTTGAGATGGTTAATAAACCTGGTTGGCCTCCAGCTAGAGCAATAAAAAATAAATAAATTACTATTTTCAGGAACAAAAAGGAGACATCACAAACCATGCAGATATTATGAAGCAAATAAGGGGACATTATGAGCAACTTTATAGCAATAAATTAGATAACTTGGAGGAAATGGACACATTTCTTAAAAGACACAAAGTCAAAAAAGAAATTAATAACCTAGATAGCCCTATATCTATTTATTAAGGACATTGAATTTGTAGCTAAGAACTTTTCCACAACAAAATTTCCAGGCCCCAGTTGCTTCACTGGTGAATTATACTAAATGTTTAAGGAAGAAGTAAAACTAATTCTACACATCAACTCTTTCAGAAAGTAAGAGAAGGAATACTGTCCAGCTCATTCTATTAGGCTGACATTACCCTAATACCAAAATCAGAAAAAGACTCTAGAGGAAAAGAAAACTGTAGGCCAATGTCTCCCATGAATATAATGTTATATTGTATATACAATATACAAAAAGGATAATAAATCATACTCAAATGCCTTTATCCTAGGAATGCAAGATTGGTTCAGCAATGGAAAATCATTGTATTTCACCATATCGACAGATCAAAACCAAAGCAAAACATATGATTGTTTCCATATATGTAAAAAAAAAGAAAAAACAGTTGACAAAATTCAACCTCCCTTCATGATTAAAAAAAAAAAATGCAGCAAAATAAGAACAGAAGGGAATTATCTCAACCTGAAGTAATTGATAGCTAACATGATTCTTAATGGTGAAAGGCAAAAGGCTTTCCTTTTGATCCAGAGCAAGCAAATATGTCCACCCTCCCCTTTGATTCAACATCATACTAGAAGTTCTAGTCAGTGCATTAACCAAAGGAAAGAAGTAAAAAGTAGATGGGTTTGAAAGGAAGAAATAAAACATCCTTTATTCACAGATGCCATGACCACCTACGTAGAAAACCCCAAAGAATCTATTTTTAAAAAAATAGAATTAATAAATCGAGTTCAGGAGGTCGAGAGGCTCCCCTGCCATTACCAAAATGGAGACTTTGTGCTGGGTCCTGTTCTTAGTGCTCGAATGCCCCAACCTGAAGCTGAAGAAGCCGCCCTGGGTACATATGCCATCGGCCATGAGGGTGTATGTTCTGGTGGTGGTGTCTTACTTCCCCATTACCAGAGGAATAATTTATGATGTTATTGTTGAACCTCCAAGTGTTGGTTCTATGACCAGTGAACATGGACATCAGAGACCAGTAGCTTTCTTGACCTACACAGTAAATGGACAATATATTATGGAAAGACTCGCATCCAGCTTCCTGTTTACAGTGAATGGGAGGTTTAGGTTTCACAATCCCGGACCAATCGAATGCACCAAACATTCCAAAACTCAGTAGATTTCTTCTTCTATTCATTGGATTTGTCTGTATCCTTTGAGTTTTTTCATGGGTAGAGTATTCGTGGGAATGAAACTGCCAGGCTATCTGATGGGTTAAAATGCCTTATGAGACGAAATCTGTAGATACTGGATTTGTTCCTGTTAATGAAGTTTTAAAGGCTGTACCAATTCTCTGATGTGAACTACGGAAAAGAATGAAGCAGCAGAAAAGAAGCATCTAGTGAAAACATAGGAAGCATGTTAAAGCTTGAACTAGAATGTCTTCTTGGTATCAAAGAGACAAGCTTATCACAGTATTTTTTCCCTGCTGGCCCATGCCAACGTACAAATGATGTTAAGTAGCATTTTCCTCTTAGTTTTTCATTTCTTAAGGAAAATATTCTCCATTTCTACAACTTTAATACTGAATAAAGTGATAATTTTTTACAGCTCCCTTAACATTTTTTGGAGAGGATATTTGTGACTCAAAATTAATGTAAAATCAGGAAGTGAGATACCATAAGCTGGGAACTCTGGACAGATGATCAGCTTTACCTGTGGTGCTTTGCCTTTAAATAGAGTGTGTGCTCTGGAAAACAGTGTGGAGGTTCCTCAAAAAATTAAAAATAGACCTACCCTATGACCCAGCAGTAGCACTGATAGGAATTTACCCAAGGGATACAGGAGTACTGATGCATAGGGGCACTTGTACCCCAGTGTTTATAGCAGCACTCTCAACAATAGCCAAATTATGGAAAGAGCGTAAATGTCCATCAACTGATGAACGGATAAAGAAATTGTGGTTTATATACACAATGGAGTACTACATGGCAATGAGAAAGAATGAAATGTGGCCCTTTGTAGCAAC